CCAGGTGGGTCTCGAACCCGCGGGCTCAGGCAATTCACTCACCTCAGCCTCCCAAAGACGCGGGATTACAGGCTGAGCCACCGAGCCCGGCAATTCCCTCATTTCATAGATGGGAATTTCTCTGTCTTTAGGAGAAAGTTGAAGGCAGGCATTTGTGAACTTACTTGTTTTGATTGAATAGACTACTAGAGTTGCCATCAAAATAGTTGTTTGTTTCCTGGGTTATTGAGTAGTGTCCTGAGTTCTGGATTTTGGTGATAGAGTTATATACGGGAGACTTGGATGATGGGTCAAAGATTTAGTCTATTAACACTATAGGACTGTTATTACATTTACACTGTATTAAGACTTTGAAGATGGAACGGTGAACACTATAACACAATTTGTATCTTTAGCGATCTTATAACTTAACAAAGCCAGACAGACATTCAGGCAGTCATACTACTTAGTGACAGCTGCTGAGTAGGGCTAAGTAGGGCTTATGTCTAGTCACTGAATCCATCTTAGGCAGTCAGGAAATAAGTGACAGTTAGCTAGGCAGAATGTGTTCTAGGCAGAGAACAACAGTCAGGAAAACCCAAAGACGAAAGAGAAGATGGAGCATTTGAGAACTTGGAAGTAGTTTGATGTGACTAGCATGTTGTTGGACAGGCTGGGTACCAGAAAGCAAGGCAAAGGGCCAGATCATGAAGGAGCTTACTTGTTCCTTCTCTTTATTAGGTGCCTGCTTTGTGCCAGGAGCTATACTAGGCACTGGGTAAAAGACAGGCATGGTTCTCTTGTGGAGTTTACATTCTGGGTTAGAGGGAGAATACAGATATGATTAAACTGATTATGTGGTAAGTGCCATGATATTGGCAGCATAGAGTGCTTTGGTAGCACATAGCAGGGGAGCTAATTAGGTTTAGGTTGTTTGGAAACCCTTAGAGAATAGGATATTTAAATAGAGACAAGAAGGATGAGTACGAGTTAGCCAGGCAAATTCTAAGCAGAGGAAACACTGTTGGAAGGCCTGGGAGACCTAGAAGGTATAGATTGCATGGCAAGGTGGAGGATATGACACATTTAGTGTGATTAGAGCATAAGAAGGCTGCAAAGGGAAATGATAAGAGATGCATTTGAGTCCAAATGTTAAAGTACCTTGTAAGTCAGGTTACAGAGTATTTTGACTTACTTTATTCTAAGGAAGTAAAAAACTATAGCTGTTTTTAAAAATAATTATATGGCTGGGCTCGGTGGCTCAGCCTGTAATCTAGCACTTTGGGAGGCCGAGGTGAGAAGATTGCCTGAACCCAGAAGTTTGAGACCAGCCTGGGTAACTTGGTGAGACCTTGTCTCTACAATAAATCAAAAAATTAGCTGGGTGTACGCCTTTGGTTCCAGCTACTTGGAAGGCTGAGGCAGAAGGATCGCATGAGCCCGGTAGGTTGAGGCTACGATGGCCGTGAGCATGCCACTGCACTCCAGCCTGGGCAACAGAGTGAGACTCCTACTCAAAAAAAAAAAAAAGTTACAAGAGGTTTTGGGGTTGGGAATATTTGTAGTATAAATGCTTTTTGATTTATGATACAGTTAGGTACCTTGCTGATAGACCTGTCGTAAGTTGAAAATAATGTAAGTCAAAATTGCGTGGCTGGCTGGGAGCTGGGGCTCTGCTGCTGCCCTAGCAATCAAGAAAAGGGCAATTTTTACTGAATGGATATCGCTTTTGCACCATCATGAAGCTGAAAAGTTGTAAGTTGAACCGTCATAAGACGAGGACTGTCTGTAGTCACTAGAGAATGTAAACATTGGAAAAACTGGCAGGCAGTATGGCGTGTTCAGTGAGGTTTGGGGACTGTGAATTTATTGATGCTCACCATTCTGTATGTAAAGGAGTTTAGGTCTTATGCTAATTGCAAAGTAAGAAATGTTACTGAAGGTTTAGGTGTGGAAGATGAATTTGGGTGAGGCGCAGGGCAAGACTAGAGGCAGGAGAGCTTAGGTTGTTAGGATAGTCCAGAGAGCATGATGGGTCCCTAAAAAAGGACCATGGGACTGGAAGGACGTGGACAAATTTGAGAGATGTTCTGGTGATAGTAACAGCATCTCTTCATTGATTGAATGCGGAACCTGAATTAAGGAGTCAAAGAGATGCCCAGGTTGATGAGTGGTATTAATCACTAAGAAAGGCAGAGAGATTTCAGAGAGGACAGTGGTAGGTTAGATTTTAGATATTTTGAGATTGAGGAACCTGTGGGACTTTCAAGTGGCAATACCTAGTATATAATTTTAATTCCTAATTAATTTCTTATACCTTTCTAAGCTTTCATTTCATTTTGAGCTTTTAAAATTCTGATTGATGTTCCTCCGTGCCTTTTAATGTCTTTTTTAGCTCATTTTGAAATTGAAAGCCGGGCTTGGTGACTCAGCCTGTAATCCCACCACTTTGGGAGGCTGAAGTGAGTGGATTGCCTGAGCCCGTGGGTTCGAGACCCGCCTGGGCAACTTGGTGAGACCTCATCTCTACAATAAAATCAAAAATGAGCTGGGCGTGGTAGCGCGCACCTGTAGTTCCAGCTACTTGGAAGGCTGAGGCGGAAGGATCGCCGGAACCCAGCAGGTCGAGGCTGCAGTGACCGGAAGTGGCAACTGCACTCCAGTCTGGGAGACAGAGTGAGACTCCATCTCAAAAAGAAATAGAAGTGGCAGCTGGGCAGCAGGGGCTCATGCCTGTAATCTCAGCACTTTGGGAGGCTGAGGTGGGAGGATTGCTTGAGTCTAGGATTTCAAGACCTGCTTGGGCAACATAGCAAGACCTCATTGCAGCTGGGCTTGGTGGCTCAGCCTGTAATCCCTCACTTGGGGAGGCTGAAGTGAGTGAATTGCCTGAGCCCGCGGGTTCGAGACTCGCCTGGGCAACTTGGCGAGACCTCATGTCTACAATAAATCAAAAATTAGCCGGGCGTGG